ATAGGCATCGACCTACCAAACACCCTGTATATACAGGGTGAATCTGAAAGTGAGGCTTTTTTTTCAACAGGGTATATATCTCGCTAGAATAAGTTGTTTGGCAAAAGTTTTTTTACGTAAAAAATTTAAGATAACGGAGGTACAGGTATTTAAATATATAAAAATTATTAGGTTGAAAATGGAGAAAGGAGATTTTGATTGATTTTTCTGATGAAATAGTGTAACTGTATATTACCTATTATGGAAAAAAACTCATTATGCTGGACAAGTAACTGCTTGTTTTCCGAGAAAATTTAAACAAAATGTTTTATAATTGGATGCCTATTCTCGAAACTGGGGTCGTATTTTCGAAACCATGCGAATTCTTTCGCATGCGATTCAATTCGAATGAAAAATGTAGTGTACGAACTAAAATGCGTATTTTTGAAGACCCTTCGAAAATTATATCGTAGACGAGTATTATTTGCGTTGACAACGTCGCAAATTCCAGTATTTGATAATGGCCATTTCGACAGATACAAAAACGAAGAAGATTTTTTTGACATCTGACTTTTTAAATGCTGGTATATATCTTGCTGAAATAAATTTCGTGCACCTAATCGTTGGGATTTCCTATTTAGAACATCCTTGCTTTTATAACGTTAATGAACATTCATGGTTTTTGGATGGGACTCTAAAAGCTCTATCAACTCCAAGGTGAGTAGCTTCGTCAGGTGATATAATTTTCGCAACTAAGTACCTACCTACACCAATATTCTTCCAGCGGATCAAGAAAGGGATGTAACACCCTATCCCTACGATCTGCCAGTATTTTTGCTTCTTCGAGTGCATCAATAACATTTCTTTCGATTAAATAATCCAAGCTAGCCATTTCAAAAACTGTCTTTTAATAAAGCAGGACAATTTAATTCACAAATTATTTGGAAACGAATGAAAAGTCGAAAGGAGAAGGAACAACGAACACAATTTTCAATTTGCACAACGTATTTAGGTAGGTACATAAACAACAAATGTAACGTATATAAACAAAATAAGCACTTCAAAATTGCAAACAATGCGCAGAATGAACTAAAATCGCATGCGAAATGTGGAATTCGACTGGTGGAGACCCACTCGAGTAAACGTACACGAACCAAATTGTGTACGGACCGTTCGAAAGCGATTCGAAAATACGGAAATTCAATTTTCATGCGAATTTCGCCTTATTTCGTATACGAACGGCATTCGAATGGTTTCGAAAATACGACCCCTGGGGAACAGCGTTCTCATGAGAACGAATGATCTGGTCTTTGTCAGTGTTATGCAAACATGAGTATGGGCAAATAAGGCGACGGAGATAGGACTTCGTTCTCATAAGAACGCTGCTCCCATGTTTTGCGAATAAGGACCCTGGGCTGGAACTCTGTAACGGATAGAGATCGTTATCCCTATCGCTATGGCACTTGCTGTCTTCTTCTGTCTTGTCAAAATCATTAGAGCGACGTCAATAGAGATAGAGAAAATACCTCTATTCGTTATAGAGTCCCAGCCCTGGTGTCTTTTTAAGACCTTAAAATACCTGTAACTCCGTTTTCTTAAATTTTTTATTTAAACAATTTTTTGCCAAACAACTCATTTTGGTGAGATATATATCCCGTTGAAAAAAAAGCCTCACTTTCGGATTCACTTTGTATATAATAGCGCTTTCGACTTTTGTCTCAAAACTGCTCCCGATTGATCAAAAAGCGATCCGAAACGGATTCACGTGTTCGACTTGAGCAATAAACGTTCTCAAATCTCGCACGGAGCGCTATTCCTTGCTCCGTCAAATTCGATAGATCAATGATTGATCAAAACAAAACAATTAAAGTACGTTCGGCTATTGATTTAAAATTAGGCAATCTATTCCAAAATGGCCATTCAGGTCAAATTGTGGTGATGTTCATAAAAAAAGCATTTTTGTTCAGGACCCTTATTGTTGTAGATGCCAAACATGACAATATGACAATGCCAATGTCAAACCTAAATATCCAGCATACCCCGCGATTTTTAAATGTACCACTTGGTTCGATATAAACTTGTTTCATGCCCGGTAGAGGCGCTACCAATTGACTTGCGTACGCGTTGTTGATTGTATCTCCAAGGTATCTCCGCTTCTGGAGAAGAAGGGTGACGTCATTTCCAATTAAATTATGACATGAACTCATGAAATGACAAATGATGACAAAACGATGAACTAGAAAACGTTGTGCTTGTTGTTGTTTTAATATTGCAGTTTGATAAAAAGGTGTTTCGTATTGTTAATAGAATGTTATCTGTGTGTATTTGTGAACTTTCACAGTGTTATGTTTAGTGCAAAGACTATTATTGTTATTTAATTCTGTGTTGTTAAGTGTTGACAAGTTGTGAAACGCTAACATAACATTCTTCTTTCTTTGTAATAAACCGTTATTTGTTAAATTTGTATCAAATTGTGTCTTTATCATAAAATAAATAAAAAGCAAATCCAAAAAAATTAGAAGGGAACTGCTCTACAAGCTGCTACAGTGGGATGAGCTCTTTTCATAGACAACAGATGGCACCACAAATGGTTGTCCGACAGGTATAACGCGAGTGTCCATTCTATCCCCACTATAAACCTTATTCTATGATGTCCAGAATGTGACAAAATAATAATTTTTCATTGATTTTTATCAGTAACCTAATTGTAAACAACACGGGGTCTGACCTGAACTTCCATATTGAATTTCGTTTGACAGGTCATGAGATTGCCTAATAGGGTGCCCTCGCTTGGATCATAATCGCTCTCGGAGCACTTTCGCAGAGATCGGTGACGTCACCGCCCAAATAGAGAGCGCTCTGGGAGTTGTAAAGCCGAAAATGCTATAAGATAATATTGTTCCGTCGGTTGAATGCGCAAACAAAAATAAGTTGGGTTATGTAGTGGTGAGATAAAAGTACCTATAGATTTAGAAAATTTGAAAATGAAAAAACAATTATTTCTGAAGAAAAATAAATTTGTACTATGTGAGAAACACAGTTTAATGGAGGAAACATCCTTATCCTCTTTCAATAAACTATGTATTAATTATTTCTAATAAACAATGTTAACTAGGAAAAAAATAACAACAAACTTAATAATATTTTTAGCAACTAATATACAGGTTGTATATTTTAAGTGATACCACTATTGCTATATCCGAAACAGTAAGAGCTACAAGGTCGGTTAAATTAGAAAAAAGTTGCCTTTTTTGATGCCCATCCAAGACTTGTTTACTGTGTTGCCAAATTCCTTTTAGTTTATGAAATACAGGGTTTTTTATGAAAAACGCCTAAAATTATTTCATCAATTATTTCAAAAACTATTGATATTCGGGACATAATTTAAATTTGAAAGTTTTGTAATTTTTTTCGCTCTACAACATGACATCTTTGAATTTTAAATCCGACATTTCGTCATCGAGCTACCATCATCAACTTAATTTTTTTAAATACGGACCTGGATTTTTTATATCATTTTTCGAAAGGGAATAAAAGGCGCTTCCTAAAAATGATATAAAAAATTCAGGTCCGTATTTAAAAAAATGAAGTTGATGATGGTAGCTCGATCACGAAACGTCGGATTTGAAATTTGAAGATGCCATGTTGTAGAGCGGAAAAAATTATAAAAGTTTCAAATTTAAATTGTGTCTCGAAAATCAATAGTTTTCGAAATAATTGAAGAAATATTTTTGGGCGTTTCTTAGAAATCACCCTGTATTTCATAAACTGAAAGGAATTTGGCAACACTGTAAACGAGTCTTAAATGTGCATCAGAAAAGGAAACTTTTTTCTAATTTAACCCACCCTGTAGCTCTTACCGTTTCGTATATAGCAATAGTGGTATCACTTAAAATATACACCCTGTATATGTATAGGTAGGAACTGGACAAACACAAGGTAGCATAATTTATTTATAGGTTTGAAATGAAAGGAACAATAATTATTAATCCATTATTTCTGCAAAACATTTGCAATTATATTTAAAGAAGTTGCAATACTTTGGGTATCGCTTACTATTCTCTCAGTATTATTTGCAATACTTTCAGTATTCGCATTTAGGATTCTAAACGTCTCCACAGTTTCCCTATTCAACTGTATTAGTTCACTCGATAGATGAAGGGTTTGCTGGGGTCTTCGTCTAATATATTTTGTAGCAGAGGCAAGTTTTCTTTTTTTAACTGTCTTCTGCTCTGCATGGCCATCTTCATTATTTCCAATGCAATTTTGCCACTCACTTGTCCAGGTCTTGGTTTTGGGGCCTATTTTGGGTGACTGCAATGCTATCAGAAGTATTTATTGGGATTTTGCTTCTCAATTCGACTGCTTGCCCATACTCAGTCTTGCACCCAAATACTTTTTTTTGCATTTCATCCTGCAAAAAATACATCTTGGTATAGTAATAAAATAATAAAAGATTTTTTAAGTAAATTTTAATACTTATATATTTCCACAATTTTTTGTTAAACTTTTAACATGTTTCGCTAAACTTTAGCTTCATCAGAAAGATTTTAGAAAAATAAAAATTTTTATTTTTCTAAAATCTTTCTGATGAAGCTAAAGTTTAGCGAAACATGTTAAAAGTTTAACAAAAAATTGTGGAAATATATAAGTATTAAAATTTACTTAAAAAATCTTTTATTAGATAATGGATTTCCACCAAGTAAAAGCCGATTCAATCAAAATAGTAATAAAAGCTAGCTAATTATTAGACTAGTGGGTAAAGTACCATTCAAGTCTCACAAGAAAAGTTAATTTTCTTAATTAAAACTCAAGGTATGTAAATTTACCCACAAGTTTATTTGCAAGTTTCATACTGTGTGGTATGTGGTATGACAATGGGCATTCATTATTTTGATTGAACAAGTTCAAGAAAGTAGAAAGTTGAAATGAATTTCCGTGTTAAAAATTAATAAATGATTATATACATTGTCAAAATTACCAACCAGGAACCTCTTCATCGTCAAAAACCTACTTTCCCATTATTGCCAGAAGTTTGTTCTCCAAGATGGATAATGGGATGGGGGTGAATCATTAGAATATCCACCAGTTTTCTGCATTTCTCTTTTAATTGCAGCTGCCTTTGATTTAGTCTCCGATTTCCAATCTGTAAGTGCCTACAAAAAAAATGAAAATGTAACTCAGGGGCAGGGCCATAAGTCTCCTACATAGGTTCTACCATTGTAACTAAAATGGGCAAATAACTAACCTAAACAAACCTTATACTAACCTTTCGCCAGCCTTCCATAGGTTTTTCTCCGTATCCCAAACTGTTCGATTTGGATGTAACTGTTTTCCAAAGGGCATGACTCTTAACTTTTCCTTCAGGCCCATTAAATTTGTTTGTTATTAATTCCGGGTTCCTGTCACAAAGCTCTAATAACAGCTGCCAATGCTCCATTCGCACTAGCATTGTGATATGAATAATAAATTTGAATAAGTTACTAGAATATTAACCAACGACATTGAAATCAGCAGCAAAAAAATTCACATCACAAAATAATTAAATAAATAAACAAACAATTTTCTGGTTTCTATGTCATTTCATAATTTCAATTGTCAGTTTTATCATAGTTAGTAGAATTCGACACGTCCCGAGATGTAGAGCAGGAACTATGGAATAAATCGCTTTCAGTCGATACACAGCGAACACAGAGTGCGGCTCGTGTAGAATCTTGACAACAAATAGAATTCTACATGACACAGGTTCCCATGTTTTGACTTTCTATTAATGATAATAAAAGCTATATCTAAAAATATCTTTTATATGTTATATTTGAGAATATTCTAATATTTTGTAAGTTTGGATGCCTTTTTCTATAGTTTTTCCACCCTGCACGTACTTTTTTCAAGACCGTTTTATACGGAATTCAATTTGAAAAATGAAAGGTCTCCTGTCATTTTCCCGAAAAACCTTCATAAGAAAAATTATAAAGGAAAACTCTAAACTTGCAATTTTGGGGTTGTTTTAAGGTAGTTCCCCCCCTCGCAGGTATGGGGATTTTTATATACATATTATACACCTTCTATTTAGTAGCATAGTGCAGAAATTAGCTTGTCCCATATTAGTTTGATGTTGACTCCCAATTTTACTGGCCTAATTATAGTTGTGTTGTTTTCTTCTTAAATGAATAAATAAATACCTACATTATTTTATTTATCAAGCAATTAGATAAATTATTTATATTCTACAGGAAGATTAGTGGGATTGTTCATAATATTAATTCTTTTTTGAAGAGTTTCTCTTCTATAGGCAAAAAAACAAGATTCATTTCTAATTAAAAATTAAGCAAATTGAACAAGAATATGATAGAGCATCAGCTCATGCAATACTAAATAGTTATTTTCCTAACAAGTGCGGGAAAGACACTTTCCGCATGAGTAAGGAACATTATTTTTTCTACGAGCGCGTTCAAATATAAAAATAAAAATTAAGTAAATTCAAAGCGATATATTATTGAAGAAATCATTCAATTACAATAGTTATTTATGTATCAAGGGTACTAGTAGATGATTATGCCCTGAGGGCGACAGTCCCACAAAGCCGAGTGCCCGAGAGTTCGTAACCGCCCGAGGGTTTATATATCTATTAGTATTAGTACCCGTGGTGACTGGCGGCTAGACATAGGATCGTGATCCAATGTTGCCAAATCCTCCTTTCATAAAGCGCCAAATTTAAAATAGATTTATATTACGGATAATGTTACAATAATAATTAAAGGTTAATTTCTGTTATACAACAAATAAATTCTCGCATGATTAGTAGGTAATAAATTAATCCTATTATAGATATTTATGTTATAAGGACCATAATCACGATCATTATGGTATTAGCCGTGAATATTATCAGACGAGGCGTCAGCCGAGTCTGATGATAACACGGCGTGTGCCATAATGATTGTTTATGATCCAAATTTCATACAATATTTTATATTCCAGAAATTGTAAATTATTTTAATCGTTAAATGTTGTCTTCAATAAATTTTTCATATTTTTGCCTACTAAACCTACCTATATTTTTTTCTCATTATAGTAGGTACTTATAATGAATACTACTTAGTACTCTAATGAAATCGCATTAAAGTACTCAATCCAATAAATTATGTCATTTTGACACTACAAATGAGATCCATAATAATGTCATTTTGACAGGCCGGAATATAAAAATAGAAAATAAGTAATGGTAATAATAAGATAAAAATAATAATACCTATATGGTATATTTTTTCATTGTGAATTTATATTTAGGTACTTATAGTTATTCTAAAGAAAGAAGCGAAAGTATTTAAAACTAAAAATAAAAGGTCAAAGTTCTCTAAAAAAATATATTATGTAATTATAATATTTAGAAATAACTACTCTACTAGCTTTGTTTGTTTATTTTCACTAAAGAGATCAATGAAGAAGACAGACTGACAGAGACAGCCAAATTTGGCTCAATGGGGTGGGCGGGCACGCGCCTAGCATCGAAATCAATTTGGCAACGTTGGATCGCAGTCCTATGTTTAGCCGCCAGTCCCGTGGTGCATATATAATACAAACTTTTATGTCATACCAGTTGGTTGTGAATAATAAATATATATAGGAAGCGTTCCAAAGAAAAATACATATATATACAAAGTATATATACAAGTATATACAGGGTGTAAAAAAAGTCTGGAATATTGCTAATATCTTGAAAACGGCTGAATATTTTCCACTTAAAATTGGTATGCTTCTGTAACGAATAGCTCCGGATCATTCAGGTGTAAAATCGCTTATGTAAGAATACAGAGTGAGTCAATAAAAATGTGCAAACTTTTTTATTTTAAATGACACTCCCTGTAAATTTTTACGGATATTGACAGATCTTTGCAAGACGAATTCACTAATATGGGATTTAGGGGTCTTATCTGTCAAAGTGACGGAACAAGTAAAAAAACTAAATCAAACTGTTTATTGTTATAAACACTAAAAATAATTACAACAAATGTTCGAAATGAGTTCCATTACTAAAGTCAGTTGCATGGTTCTTGAGCTGCGCAGTCTGAAGAGGCAGAGGGGAAAATTCCAGATAAAAACTCGGCTAACGTTTGATATCATAGGCGTGCGTAATGTTATTTTTTCTATTATAAGATTAAAATTTATTTTCACATTTGCAAATTGCGTTTGATGTTGGGTGTATATGTTTCATGAAAAAAACTTGGATGTTCAAAATTTCGAAATTCGCCCAATATAAGGGTGGTTCAACTCAACAGGGTGATTCGTATTCGTTCCTTCTTCATCGCAAACTCTATATATATTGGCTATTACCTCCCTTGTTTGGCTATGAAGATTTTTTTTGCGTAAATTTGTCCATCTTTTTAAACACCTTTTGGCTACGCCACTGAATAAAACTTTGATTGAACAGAGACGCCAATGAAACAAAATTTAAAATGTGCGCGCAAAAGCTGACGGCGGCGACGGCGCCATCGCCTGGTTGTGGTGGGATCCAATCGCTCAGTCATTTTTTCCTATTTTACATACGGAGAGTACGGCTCGATTCGAAACGTTCCACATAAGTGATCTCAGTGATGCCGTATTTCGGAAAAAAAATGGATTTTCAATGATGTATGATTTATTAAATGGATAAAATGAATGTTTAAAAAATATTAATTATGGTATCATTATATTTTTATGTTATTTTTAAAATATTATTCGATTTGAAGAATAGTATTCTCCATATTTCGAAGACGAAGGAGATTTTATTGCAATTTTCATGTATTATTATTATTGATATGACAACGCCGCAATGACGAATTTTCCCCTCTGCCTCTTCAGACTGCGCAGTTCAAGAACCATGCAACTGACTTTAGATAGGCAATAACCTGTCATTTAACTCCTGGAGAACATTGCCGAGGATCTCACCTAAATAGATCGAATTTCACCCAGAAGATTCCACCAAGAATAGATCGAATTTCACCCAGTATTCTATTCTTAAGGTCATTAAGATCTAATGGTCTACTTTTATGCACGCTGGTTTTTAAATGCCCCTACAGGAAAAAATCGAAGGGGATGAGGTCCGATAATCTCGCTGTCTATTCATTTTCACCTCCTCGTCCTACTTTGGAAACTCTTCATCAGAAGAAATTTCCGGACTTGTACACCAAAATGCGTTGGTGCACCATCTTGCTGGAACTAAGTATTCTGCCTGTTTGGAGTCAACATATTTGAACTAGGAATAACCTTATCTTGTAGTGATCGTAAGTATTTGTCCGAAGTTAAATTTCTCTCTATGAAGAACGGTACTATTACATTATGGCCAACAATATCTGCCCCACGTTTACTTTCTGAGGGCGCTGAGTATGTACTTGCTCCATCAGTGAGGATTAGTAGTGGATCAGAATCTGCAGTTGTGCCTATTCACAGAACTGAGCATAAGCAGCTCCGTCAGAAAAATGGATTTCATTTGCAAAGAAGGGGTCAATAGTCACGTTCAGCCGAACTTAACATGTTGAGTGATTAGTCAGCGGCTTTGTTGAAAACAGATTAAAATCAGCTCTTGGCCAATCAAAACTGTTATACTTTGTGTATTTCACTTGTTGGAACAAAGCCGCTACCGAATCATTCAACATGTTGAGTTCTGCTGAACGTGACCAAGTTACAACGCTGAACGTGACCAAGTTACAACGCTCCATAACGCTCTGACCGTCTGTCGAAGTCATCTTCCTTGAGCTCCTGAACAAGGTGAACTTTATAAGGACGATTTTTTTGTTTATGTACCTAGTTAATCGTACACTGACTTATGGCTGATACCCTGTTGCAATCCTAGCCGACGTGTTGATTACCACTTTCGGTCTGCCAGTGCGCGACAAATTTTTAATGCTACCGGTATCGTCGAAACGTCTTAAGCCGGAGTCTCATGCATCCGTCATCTGATGGCCCGATGATCCGAAATTGTTAGTATTGGTTGAATTTACGGCTTCTGATTAGTTTGCCTTTTCGAACCAATCAGAAGTCGTAAATTCAACAAATAGTAACAATTTCGGATCATCGGACCATAGGATGACGGATGCGTGAGAGTCCGGCCTTATTACTTTGCTTATACAGGACTGCGTAATGAGGTTTCGGCTTGGGTAAAGATCGTTAAATAATTTGCATACTTTCAGTTGAGTCCTTTTCCTGTCTCCATAACCAACCAACATAAAAATTTGATTTTTTTCTCTCTCACTTAAACCAGGCATAACGGTTTATTATTTAACTTCAACGTCAAAATCATAGAAGGTTTAGTCAAAATGATAAAATGATTGGTTGAATAATCATTCTGTCAATTTGACGTTGAAGTTAAATAATATTTAGTTAACAAATAAAGTATTAGAATAATAATTCTTACTATAAGCAAAAAAACAAGATTCATTTCTAATTGAAAATTAAGCAAATTGAACAAGAATATGA